GTATTGGACCTTTTTTATAGACACGTTTTACTCTGTGTGAATAAAGACGTTCAATTGCTCTCACATGTGCCTTTTATAGACGTAATAATCTTGTACTTACACTTATACAACCCTAAAATAAACTTTCCGAAGAAAAGCCACCACTTCCCCTTCACCTTCCGTTCCCGGAAGATCTGTTACCTGCCACAGAATTATATGGTGCGAAACAGCACTGTTTTTAAATCGCTGTTCCCACATCTCATTACATTACATAGGCCGAATAGGCATTCGAATGCCATTATAACAATGAATAGGAATCAAATTCATGTTTAACCATGGAACGTGTCTCTTAACGGCAACACGCCTATTCTTTTACCCTTCTCGCAAAAAGGTGGTATGGTGGGACCGCTTGGAAAGACGCTTCACACTTGCGTACATTGCGACTACAAAAACCGAATGAGCCTGTCACGACTTCGACTTCTCCTTATTGAAATCGGATCTTTCTGGCGTTGGAGTCAACATCAGCTTGTTTCCATAATTCTTTCAATGGCTCCGTGGACCAATCGCCCTTCCAGATAGCCTCACGATTTTCAAATTATCACTTTGTGAACGTAGCGCATTCTAAGGAAGATGATCGAGGGCCACCACTTCATTCATTCAGCTCTTATTTAGTTATGATATCTCACGACTTCAGTGGTCGGAATTTCATATCGAATTGGCATTTTACAAAGAATTCGAACTACTGGGGAAATTCTTAGAGAAAAGTTGAATTTCCAAGGTAAGAAATCAAAAACAAATACTTCTCACCTCTCCTACTTGCCGATGTTGCGGTGTGTCGACTATTCTAGGCACTAAGAGTGGCCTCAGAATTTGTTTAAAGCCCTCCGGGTTATTAAAATCTCGACAAAGTCTCAGCGTCGAATTGAGAGGTAGAAGAGACAAAGGGTGAGATCGCTGAAACATCGAGATGAGAAACAAAGCTTTCATGTTCCTCATTGTTTTCTTGCACAGCTAGGAATTATGTACTTAGAACCTTACGTAGAGGAGAATATAAGGATCGAAAAAAATAGTTGCAAAATATCACATGCCTGATTCCTTCGCCATTCGCCCCAAGCCAGCGATGTCAGGGCCAGCGAAAGGATGACTAGAAAACACGTCTGCATTTCAAGGATGGAAAGCTGAAAATGGCTAGATTAATCAATATTTCCATGATGTGGGGATTGTTTGCTGAACGAAGCTTTTATTTAACCCAAATCACGCTGCACAGAACTCGTTATTTCTGCGCTAGTCAATAAAACCAAAAGCATTCTATGAGAGGTCCCAACTGGGAAAACACTGGCGGAATGACGATATGCCACTAAACACAGCAAAGCAGTTTCCGCATGTAGAAGAACGTAAAAGGCTCCGAACGAATGGACAAAGGGAAGATTACACGAGGAAATTAAAAAGAAATAAACGAACGAATGACTAAGTACAAACGCTGAGGACTAATTATAACTCAACGCAAGATGGTCAAAAAGGAGCCTAACGGGAATCACAGTACCCTCTCACACAACCGTTCAAGATAACCTTTACCAAAACAGCGTAAGTCAGCCCTCGGAATTTCTCGGTTTCGGCAAGTTGGCCTTAAAGGAATCTTTCCCGAATAATTCTTGCATTCTTTCTCAACATGAATATGTCAGTTGTGATCACTAGAACAACACACAAAGTTTCACGCATGAAGATTCGGTTTCCGAAGAGAAACAAACTCACAAAAACCACATTCTATGGACATCGAAGGTAAGTCG